TTAAGGCCCAGGCTAGCTTTTCTAAATACCGAATTCCTAATAAATTACATCAATGTGACCTACTCCCCCATGTCCACAATGATCAGAAAAGAGGAAAAATATATTTACACACTTTGGTGTTGATAAATATAGCAACTTGATATAAATGTGCAGTAGCATTAACATCAAAGACTAGCTCAGAGGTTTGAAACGTGATCGAAAAAATATACAATGATCCCAAAAATCCTCTCAAGTGGCCGGCATTGTTGATGGTTGATAGTGCTGGTGAGTTTAAAGAATCATTTGTGAAAGGAATACGTAGTGGTCATTGCGTATCTATAAAATCAAAAAAGTTATTGTTGATAAAAATCCACCACAGCCAGTCTTATACTATCTTGAGGATGAGCCAATTGAATCTACCGCTTATTTGATGGGTAGAAATCCACATCGGCCTTTTAAAAGGGAAGAATTAATACCAATCAATGTAAATTCTTTGGAGTATCCTCCAGATAAGTTTATGCGGAAATACCATCCTACTGGATAATTCCAATTTTAAAAAATACAAATATACTTGAATCAACTCCTAAAAATACGAACTAAACTATCTTTAGCAGATGCTTGTACAGTTGCTGAAAGTCGAGGTGGATAATGCCTTTCTGAGAATTACATTAATAATCATACCCCTTATGATGGAAATACGCTAAACATCATGAATGGAATGCACGCTTATATGATATAAAAGATGGTGCCACCTGGTGCCTGAAGTGTCTACGATGGAAAGATCAAAAAATATGAAGTCTTGAAATGGTTAAAAAATTAGCACATACTAGAGGAGAAAGTTGTCTTTCATTAGAATATATTAATTATAATTCTCCATTGCACTAGAAATGTGCAAATAGTCATGAATGAATGTCATCATTAAAAAATATAAAAAGTTTTAATATGTGGTGTCCAAAATGTGCAAGAAAAAATCGGAAGCCTGTTATTGTGAATAATAGTCAAAAATTTAGTATTGATATTGCTAAAAAAATTGTATATTCTAGAGGTGGAGATTGTTTTTCTTTAGAATATATTAATTGTCATTCCTAATTACTTTGGAAATGTGTTCAAAATCATACGTGGTTTGCAACGTTAGATAGTATAAAATCTCACCATACATGGTGTCCGCAATGTTCGGGATATTCTAAGCTTAATATTGATATTGCTATTGATATCACACATTGTAAAGGAGGTAAATGCTTGTCAGAAAAATATATTGATATAAATTCTCTGCTTTTATAGGAATGTGCTAAAGGACATCAATAGAATACAAATCTTAGATGTGTAAGAAATTTAAATACATGTTGTCCTTATTGTTCAGATCGCTATTCTTGTAATCTTGAACTTGCTAAAAAAGTGGCAAATGCTATGGGAGGTGATTGTCTTTCTGAAAAATATATTAATGCTATCACACCGCTCTTATGGCAATGTAATAAAAAACATATATGGTATGCAAATCTTGATAAAGTTAAAAATTTAAATATGTGGTGTCCATTCTGTAAAAAATATAAAAGAGAGCGTTTATGCTATGAAATCATATCAAAATATTTAGGTGCACCATTAAAAATTCAAAAACCTGATTTTCTAAAAACACCTGAATACCCGACAGGTCTACAACTCGATATTCTATATTATTATTATGGTTTTGCTATTGAAGTACAAGGGGAACAGCATGAAAAATATCATAAATTCTTTCACAGAAATCAGGAAGCTTTTAAAAAACAGTTAGATCGAGATCAACTCAAAAGAGAACTCTGTGAGGAAAACTGGATAGTCCTTATCGAAGTATGGTATTATGAAAACCCCCATATTATTATTCCAGAAAGATTACAAGAACTGGGTCTTATATCTTAACTAGTATTGTTCAATTTTACGTTATTTTTAGAAAGATACTTAAGGATAAAAATACTTTTTTTCTCTTATATAGTATATATAATATGGTATTCTATTACAGACCAAATTCTAATAGCAAGTTAGCCAGGGCTCATGAATATGCTAGCAAGTGCGGTGGAGAATGTCTTGAAAGAAGTGGTCGAATTAATAATCAGAATATATATCTTTGGTCATGTCAGAATGGTAAACATCAATTTGAGTACCTGTATCCATTAATAGCTACGAAATTTGAGTGGTGTCCAATTTGCCCTCATTTCAAAGGGGAGTGCAACTGTCAATATATATTTGAGGATCTGTTAGGTAAGAAATTTCTACCATGCTCAGATAAATTTTTGGATAGACTAAGGCTCGATGGATATAACGAGGAATTATACCTAGCATGGGAGCATCAAGAAGTACAATACTATCATCAGAATGCAATATTTCACAAGCGAAGTCAAATTGATTTGGATGAGCAAAAGGCATACGACGAAAAAAAGCGGGAGATATGCAAGAAGCAAAGTATAGATCTGATTGAAATACCATTCGACTTGGATTTATATGTATTTATAAAAAGTGAATTGCAAGAGAGAGGTTATTTATCGCATAAAGAATAAACACATAAGTATTACTTAGATTAATCGGGATAGAAGAAGAAAAATGCCTATATTTGTATACAATATCGACAAGACATCTAACAAATCCTCAGAACGAATGAAAGGTAATAAGTATTCACCAGATGCCCCATTCAGATTACTGGTATGTGGAGGCTCCCATAGCGGAAAAACTAACATGGTTATAAATCTTATGCTTGGTAACAAACTACAACGTATGTTCAAGGGGAAAAAAGGTCAGCGGTATATTAGAAATGATGATCTTGTATTAATAGGCAAGCATTTTGAGCCTAAATGGCAACTTGTACAAAATAGCTATCAGATCTTTGCAAATAGCCTAAAACCATATCAAGAGGATGTTACATTCAAAAAGTTATCTTCAGATAAAATTCCAGATATAACTAAATTCACACCAGAATGAAGTACAGTTGTTGTGTTTGAGAATTTATGTGCTGAGCCAAAGAAAGTACAAGAATGAATTATTCCGTACTTCATTAGTGGCCGGTATCAAAATATCTCACCCATATATGTGAGCCAGAAATATATACAAACTCCTAAAATTATCTGCAAAAATCTGAGCCATTTTGTATTATTTAACAATAGGGGTCCCGAGACGACATTTATAGAATCGTGCGACAATATACAGATAATCCGAAAAAAGCATCCAAAATTATTGATAAATATTTGTGGGATCAAGATTTCATAGTCTTTGACTTTACTAAAGCAGTTGATGATTCTCTCGCAATTAGATTGGGTTGGGACACACCATTGAAATTAGATAAATAGAATAAGGCTTGACAATCAATAATTATTTTTTCTGCTATAATTTTGTCATATTAATATAAACACATCCTACTCACCACTTTTTATATTATTGAGAAGATGCACGTCTCTAGCTGGTGTTGAAATTGAGGTAGGTGTGAAAAAATAAACTCGCCATATTTTTGAAAAAGTGCATTCTATGTATTATCTACAATAGAAGATTTTTGTGTTTCGTAAAATAGACTCATATGCAAAATTTTAAATATACATTATACTGTTAATTCCAAAAGACGTTTCTGAAATCTATCCTGTAATTGGTTTTTCTTTCTACCTATCCAATCATATGGAATATAGTATTCTTCATATTTATTATTAATAAAATGGCTGACCATATTAGAGTTACATCTCCTATATATTGCAATTTTCTTAGCATTCCACAGATTGAACTGATCTCGAGTTTGAGGATTTTTTACTTTACGAGAAGTTAGGCCTAGAAATTTCTCATCATCTGAAATATTATCATTTGGTAAACTCAACCAGGCAAGTTGTGCATTTGATGGCTCCCTTTCTTTGAATCGTCTCCAAGCATTTTGAATAATTCATGCATAACCATCTTGAGATTTAGGTTTATTACATTTATGATCCCAATGATATTTCATCAAATCTGCCAGTTTAATCTTTTCAATATATCTATAGAGAGCAGAAGCATATACTTTCTTTGGTTTTATATTATCAACATGAATAAGCTTCATACAATCTAAACATATCGCCACATTGGCCTTATAGATTCTAGGTCTATAGTAGTCATGATTGACTAGCTTAGAATTTCCAAATGCACCAAATAAACTATGTACGTGATATACACTTCTTTTCTTTTAGATCTTGTAAAAAAACTCTGACCTGAATAG